AATTATTATAGTGGAAGAATATATTATATTTGTGTTTAATTTTAAACCTTCAGTATATTTGTGTACATCATATGCGATACACTTATTCAATAAAAATATCATTTTTCTGATTCAAAAGAATTTCTAAATTTAATTAATTTTCTTCACACTTACGATATATTTCTCGGTTGACAACCATCTCCTAAATGAAATGCGTTTGTATTTGATTTGTGTTTTAATTAATTTCATATTTAGATTATTAACATAATTATCAGATAATTTTATTTCATTAATTCGAGAGTAAATATGATTTTGTGTGTATTTATAGTAAATATTTTGACACTAAAATAGTTTAATTCTCATCATTAACTCAATTAGAGAAATGCATTTATAATTACAAATTGATTGTGTGTAACACATCCAATGCCATAATTACAAGCTTATCGTCAAATGTGATTTTAAATACTTTTGTTTTTTCCTTTTATATAAATTGTATTTTATTTCAATTAATTGATAAATTAATGTTTATTGCTTAATGTCACTATAAATTTTAAATAGACAAGGAGTATATTTCAAAATAAAAATCTAAATATTATAATTAAATATCATTTTTGGAGTTTAATAATAAATGTATGTTTTTGAAGTGAAAATCTTATTCTTATAATGATATATAACTGAAATCTCTAAATGTTTTGCAAATATGTGAGTACATGACGGAGTTGTGGTGGAAGTTGATGTCCATATCCATAATGATCTGAAATGTCAGACCTCCTCAACATTAACGGAACGAATCGATATGTTTTCGATGGATTAGAGGCCGAGAAATCCCTTCCCATATCTTGTGTCGGATGTGCTCTGAAATTATCAGTTTTACGTTCAAAATCAATTGAATTGTGAAGATTTCTCGACTGAAAGTCTTGATTTGGTCTAAAATTAGATCCAAAGTCATTATTAAAATGATTGTCAAACGAGTTGTGTTGATGTTGAGCGCCGTTATCTGTCATATGATCAGTATTTGGCGACTGATGGCCTACAGGGGGCACAAATAGTTGAAAGAGACTATGATAACAGAATTACAGAAGCTACTCTCCAAATTATACAACATGTTTTACTGCTATACCAACTTACTAAAGGAACTGAAGAACCTAGTGTCCTTTCATAACATTGTGTCTCATTCTGTAGGGCTCCTCATGAGTAGACGTCTCCTCCACTTTGTTTATTGGATCTGTTAATACAAATCATTGTTAGATATGTTTGTCATTCATATTTAGTATAATAATAATGTGCTCTAGTTTTAAGTACACAAAGTGATTAATACATGAATGCTTCAATAGCAGTATTAATTAATTTAAATTTATAGCACAGAGTAAGAGAATAATGGCCTTTACATTTTTTATATACAAATTATATTTTAAATTAATTCTAAAAATAATTTTGAATTAAAAAATATTCATTTATATTAATATTAAAATTAGCTTTGTTATACTGGCATGAGTGTATAACTGATATAATGATCTAATAATTAGTGCATAAGATCATAGAGCAGTTTAATAATAATAAATAATATGAAATAAGTCTATAAAAAAGATAAGAAATGAATACTTGAATGAAGCGACTGATGAACCGTTAATTGAGACGAATGTGTCTTAAAATGTAGTTTAAGTGGTATTGGTTTGGATGTAATCTCAATGATCTGGGGCTCAAGTATGGGGTTCTCCTCCTTATACGGAATCACTTTCAGAGTCCTTCTGGACATAACTGCCAGAGATATGGGCTTTTGTCCACTGGTTGGCCATAATTTGTTGCCATTGTTATCATTATCCATCCATTGATGTCTGGAATTTTGTGGTGGTTTTGGTTCAAAACTTCTTAAAGCACTTTCACCATTCACTTTATGTTTGTCACTGTTGTCAGTGAAGTCATTACGAAAATCTTGTCTAAATTCATCAAAATCTTCATTATTGTTATTATCATAACTGATACCAAAACGGCTCCAATCGATGCTTTCTGTGGTCGACATTAAGACCAAACAAATCTATGAATTATTTAATAATTAGAATTTCAAATAAAAGTGTAATTTTTGTCAGTTATAAATGAAAGACTTTAATAATGTTGTCATTTATTCCATAAATTGAGAAAAATATTACTTTTAAGTAAATATGAGATCACTTTATAATATATTTTTCATGCAATAAATAAATTCAATTCAAAATTATACTATTTATAGTTCATGAAAATTATATATTAGTTACCAGTAAATATATCTGAATAGAAAACATATCTTAAGCTAAAAATATCTCTTATTATATTAGATCTTTTTAGAGAATCTTTTATAAAGTATAGAAAATTTTGCATAAGAAAAGATCAATTGATTCACAATTTAAGTGAAAAATAAAATGAAAATTTCTCATCAATTTTCAGACAATTGATAGACAGAGAGAGAGGGAGAGTATGAGACTGTGAGACGAGTTGTGGAGATATTGAAGAAAAATACATATTTTGTATTCAATTCTTCTTTTTCTTGTTTTGTTGAAAAAGACAACAAATTCTTTATGTTATATACAGTATGTGTTGATAGGAATGTCATTCAATTACTCCTCAAAATGAAGAGAATTTTATTATTAAATAAATAATAATAATAAACAATAAGTGATTTTTTCTATGAAATGTGGGCTAAAAAATAATATTTTTCAATTCAATGTGTAATAGCGCTGTTAGCATAGCTTCGCCCAACGAATTACATTTTCACTGTTTTTATTATTATTGGTATAATTGTGTCAAAAGTGAAAATTTTAAAAACCATTTATTTTTATTAGTCTTTTCTATCACTTTCTCACTCACAGTAAGGCATAGCAAATGAATTTTTGGGCAAAATAAGTCATAAAATAAGTGGTGAAATGTATTGGAAATTCTCCGCTACTTTTAATCATCAAATCAAATCAATGATCACTTTTAAACAATAGTATCATGTTTTGAAAAGTATGCAATCCATTGAGACATTTATTTATATGTCAAATAAAATGAATATTTTACCTCTGTTACCTTTTTATATGATTAATATACTTTACTACAGTATATATTCAGACATTTTAATAAACAAAATACTAATAAATAAATAAATTTTTATTTTGGGGTTTTATAAATTCAGAAAATCAAAGAATATATTGCTATTGTAATCTGTAAAAATTTCATTAATTACTTACGAGTTAGATAATTTTTATTTCGATAAGAAATATTTTAATAAATATGAGAGAGAGAGAGAGAGAGAGAGAAAATTTTAAAATTCTAGTTTTATTTAATTGCTATCTGTGTTTGACTATTAATTTAGAAATACTACTGTCTATTATATAAGATTTTTTAGTCCAATGCCATAAAATTGCAATGAAATAAATTTTATGCCTAATTTTAAGGTTATGGTTAATTAAATTTTGCATCGTTTCAATCAATATTTTATATAACATAGTTCATTTCAAAGCATATATTTATTTAGTTTTTTAAATAAGGTACTAGTGCATTGTATGATGTCTCAATGTCAGACATCTAATCTGAGCCATCAAATAAAACTGATTATATAGTGTTCATAGATTTAATTGGATTAATCATAAGTCAAACAGTATTTTATGGGCAAAGAAAGGAAAAAATGTTATATAACTGTAATCGTAATTAATTCAAAAATCTTTAAATCCGATTACATTTTTTCATTGAAATGTATGACCAAAAATCAGTTACTGTTTTTTCTTTTAAAGATATCTAAGTTATCGATTAACTCTTATGTCTGTCTTTTCAAACATTTAATTAAACTCTAAAATTAATGTCTTTTAATTATAAGGAGGCCAATAAATGCATGTTTTTGCACTTTCTTTTATCTTAACGTCTTATATATTACAGCTATGTTGCAGATAATGTCCACATTAAGACTTTAAATGAATGTACACTGTTACTTACATTTTTGAGTATGCATTGCAAATAATAGAATAGAGATTCTTATATAAAATAATTAAAAATTTGTTAAATATCATATAAATTATCGTAATTATGAATATGAAAGTACTGTAATATTGTACTATTCAAATTATACAGTATTGCTGTATTAATAATGTATTTTATTGTAATTAACAAAAAGTTTGAACTAATGTTTCGATTCAATGATTGTTTGAGTAAAATAGTAGTAGTCCTCCATTTCATGGTATCCATCAAATTAATGTTTCATTTTATAAATATTTATTTTAAAACAATCGCATGTACTGTATATGAATGTTGAATGAATTGTAATCACTATTCGTAACCAATTAATACAATAAATGTCTTAAAACCTCAAATCTACTGAAAGTATTTATGAAATAATTGAATGTAGAGTTGCTGTCAGTGATGCCTATATAGCACCGGTAGAGGGACTCACAATTAGGTCTATTTGTGTGGACCATTGAGCAGTGTAAAAATAAAGAGAGGGGACATTTAACTCGGGGGTGTAGCTCAGTGGTAGAGCGTCCGCTTCGCATGCGGAAGGCCCGGGGTTCGATCCCCCGCACCTCCACTTTTGCTTTTTATTTCACTTTTTGCTTTTTAACACTTTTGCTAAACTCAGTATTCACTTGGTATGCGATTTTTATATTTTTTAATCGTGCTTATTACATTTGTAGCATAGTCATTAATTTTACAATTAATGTTGCAATCTGTATTAGCAATATAATGCGCAAAATATACCAGTATAGTTAGCATGGTCACATTTTTCGTGTAAATATGTATAGGTTTTAGGGCTAATCAATGCATACAATTGGAGAATATCTGCGAATATTGTGTTTAAAGTTTAAAGTAATTAAAACTTTAATTGAATTGCATTTAAGTTATGATTGAAACCAATGCATGGGTTCATGGGTTGAGCCGTAATTGATGTTTGTTTACGGCTTTCAACACAATTTGAGTCGCGATTGCGAAATGAGTAGTGATTTGAATGGTTTGATGGCATGAGTGGTGTGTTGTTTGCCATCCATTGTCATCGCGAGTGACCACCAGATGATCACATGAGCCACAAGTGGGTGTCGGAGCTGTTTGTGGGTGTGAGGGGTGGCAACAGGGCGTCCCTCTCGCGGGCCATCACTGTCGTCGAGTCGTCGAAACGGTCGGCGCAAAGACGACAACTCCTGAGACAAGTGAATGACCACATCGTCAGCACCAGACCCAAGACGTTACGGCTGGGCATTAGTGGAGGTCCCGGTGCCGGCAAATCCACATTCATCGAGGCGTTTGGCATGAATTTGATCGACAAGTACGACAAGAAGGTGGCGGTGCTCGCCATCGACCCCTCCTCTGCCATCAATGGCGGCTCCATTCTGGCCGATAAGACACGGATGGCTAACCTCTCCAGACATCCCATGGCTTTCATACGGCCCTCTCCTAGCAATGGATACGTCGGTGGCGTCACACAGACTACCAGTGCGCACACAATCCGTTTGTATTGATTGTTGGGTTAAGTGAGTGATAGTGTGGTCACCATCTGATCCGCGACACCATTCATGTCTTAATCCGCAATCAATTGATGTCTTGTATTGCGAAGTATTGACTCGTTTTGTATGGACTGACAGGCAATGCGATCGCGTTGTGCGAGAGCGCCGGCTATGACGTGATAATCGTGGAGACGGTAGGCGTGGGTCAGTCGGAGTACGAGGTGTCCTACCTGTGCGACGTGATGGGGCTGTTGGTGGCGCCGTCGGGAGGCGATGAGATCCAGGCCATCAAGAAGGGGATCATCGAAATGGCGAACATTATAATTGTGACCAAATCTGACGGCGATCTCGTCCGACACGCCCGCAAGATGTCGGCTGAGATCATGTCTGCCACCAAATTCATTAACTATGGCGAACGGCCCGTCGTTATGAGGTGTTCGGCCCTCACTCGCGACGGTATAGACGAGGTTTGGACACAAATGCAAGCGTTGGCCCAATCGGAGGACAAGAAGATGGAGAAGCGAAGGGAACAGAGAGTGAAGCACTTGAAGATTGGTTTGATTAACGAGTTCTTAACCGAATTGAATCGAAGGATACCTTTAGATAAATACGAGGATCTGTTGCGAACCGATGAGACCGTTATTGTCGAGGATATCATTGAGAAGATCTTCGACGAGGATCTCATGAATAGTGTTCCCGATATTCACAATATGAAAGAGAGTTAAGGTTTACTGTTATGTGCTTTAGATTTGTTATGTTTTACTCATTTTTAAGTGATTTATAAATAGTTTTGTTGTTATTAGAGAATTATAATACTGTTATACTCACTGTACAGTATATAGTATATACTATATACTGTATATCAAATTTTATTTTATAATAAACTATTTTTTCAATACTATCCGTAATTGAATATTTTATGAAGTAAATGACCAAGTTCATTTAAATAAAATAATATGTGCAATGGAAAATTGAAGGGAACTCTGTACTTTAATGTTTTAAAATAATTAGCATTGAATGCTTTATTTTTCATTGTATTGGTATTCCAATGAACCATAATCAATATTAATACTGTATTATTCATTAAGGGTACAGACTCTGTACAGTAGTACGGTACAGAGTTCCTTTAAAGTTTAAACTTTCCATAACACATATATTATAGTATATTATTGAGAATAATGAATATTTGAAATTAAAACTTAAGTGTACCATTTTTAATGAATCTTTATTATATCTTAAGTATTAACTTATTATCAGCCCATGAATGGCAAAGAATTACTGTTATGTTTACCAATTACACAGTTTCTTGAAATACGTTTTCAAGTCATTAGTCATTTAGTAGCGAAAGGATTGAGTTGACTGGGAATCAGTGGACAAAGAAAACTAATTAAATATATTATTGAATTGAGTGGTAAGTGTCCATTGAAGCCATGGAACAGGAGGGCCCCAGAATGAGGTTCAATCAGAACTTCTTCTCATTCATTAATAACATTCAATTGACACCAGCATTCATGGAACTGCTTAAAAAGCATCCATGTCAGTACATGATCTCTGACATTATGGTGAGTTAACTTGCTAATTCATTAATCAATTCATGATACTGTACTGTATACGGGACTAGTATCGTAATATAACCGTAATACATACACATAATAAGTCTAGATTATAACTGTTTAACATTTATTGATTATATTGTCTTAATTATTATCTTATTGTATTATTGAATAATAAAAATTTTTATAATATACAGAACTTCAAGGACACGACAAAGAAGTGCAGAATATTCTCTGAATTCACTCGAGAGAGAAGTCATTGCAATCTATTGGCGGATATGTTGGAAGAGTCCGGACAGAGAGATAAAGCAAATGAATTGCGTGAATACAACACCTCAGAAAGACTCCGGGAGTATACCAATGATATTGAGCTGGGGTTGTCAACGCTATTACCCTGAGGTCAGGCCATTCCTGTTGGTATACAATGGAGGGCACCCCTCGAGGACGGGCTATTATATTCGTGACGGTCGATGACTTGCTGAACGAATCGCTCAGATTTAAGTGGATTCTGGAGAAGATGTTCTTCAAAGTAGACATTCATCGACAGCTCACTTGCGCTCAAATTAGCGATATATTGGATGTGGTGTCCAATGAGAAACATGACGGCGACGCCTTCATTATGATGTTCATCGGACACGGATATGACGAGAAGATTCAGGGCTGGCAGGAGAGGGACGGCGACGAGTTGGCCATCAGTAAGATTGTCGACAAGTTTTCCGAAAACAATTGTTTGAGTCTTCGCAACAAACCCAAGATATTTCTATTCAACTGCTGCAGAATCAGTACGTTTTATGGTATTTATTATCCCCTAAGAATTAAACTTATTGTACTATATTTTAAATTTAAACTAATTGAACAGAACCCAAACAAATCCATGTCTCTGGTGTCTTCAAATTGGATAACAATCAACTGGTCATCGATTTGACTTCCATTGACAAGAACTGGGAGAACGAGAATAAGAGAACTTATATTATCTATGCCTGCGCTGAAGGTACCGTATGTTTATAAATTAAACCTGGTAGTAAATAAAACTAATTAGTCATAATAATACTACGTTTACATATTTTAGGCAATCAATCTTGGTATTATCCGGCATCAGGTATGACTCAATTTGGACAGTCGTTTAGTCACATTGTGGCACAATTTTCATGGTATAAGAATTTGGTGGAAATGCTTGATATGGTGAGCATTATGTTTATGACATTAATTAATTTTAAATGATTTATAATTTATACTGGTAATTTAGAAAATGATTTCTAATATTAATCTGATTTCTGACACAACTAAGACTGGAAAAAGAGATCGAAGAAGACCAACGGCCAGAGGTTAGGATGTTTGCAGTGGATAGGGAGCTGTACTTCAATCCAGGATTAAGTAGGACTTCATGATTTAATTAACAATATTTGCGCTCAAATTATTAAAATTATTGAATAGTAATTAAATATTAAATTAATTAAATAATTTATACTTTTGTAAAGCAATATAATTACATTATATGTAATGTTTTTGTTATGCTTTTGTCAATTTGCATACAATTATATTTCGTGTTAAAAATAACAATAAAAATTTTCTATTTGTATGTTGGTATTTTTGTATATTGTCATTTTTAATTAAACTATTTATACAAGGAAATCTTATCTTAAATGCACTGCGATTTCCATGGTATTTATCTGACTCTGGTGTTTATATAACTTATATAAGAGTTTTATAAAACAATTTACAATCTTGATTTTTAAAAAGAATCTTTGTATGATATTTATTACAGTAAGTTGTATACTGTATGATATTAGACGTTGAAATACTTGTTATCAGCCCATGAATGGTAATGAATTCCTGGTATATTTACCAATTACACAATTTCCTTGAAATATGTTTTCAAGTCATTAGTCATTTAGTAGCGAAAGGATGAGACAAACACTGAGTTAACTGAGAATCAGTGGACAACTAATTAGATATCCAGGTATTATTGAATTGAGTGGTGAAGTGTCCATTGAAGCCATGGAACAGGAGGGCCCCAGAATGAGGTTCAATCAGAACTTCTTCTCATTCATTAATAACATTCAATTGACTCAACAATTTATGGAACTGCTTAAAAAGCATCCATGTCAGTACATGATCTCAGATATTATGGTGAGTTAACTCATTAACCAATTTATGATACTGTACTAGTATCATAATATATGCACATAATAAGTCTAGATTATACAGTAACTGTTTGGCATTTATTAATTATAATGTCTTAATTATTGTTTTATTATTGAATAATAAAAATGTTGATAATATACAGAACTTCAGGGACGCGACGGCAAAGAAGTGCAGAATATTCTCTGAATTCACTCGAGAGAGAAATAATTGCAATCTATTGGCGGATATGTTGGAAGAGTCCGGACAGAAAGACAAAGCAAATGAATTGCGAGAATACAACACCTCAGAGATAGCCTGGGAGTATACCAATGATATTGAGCTGAAGGTTGTCAACGCTATTACCCTGAGGTCAGGCCATTCGCGGTGGTATACAATGGAGGGCACCCCTCGAGGACGGGCTATTATATTCGTGACGGTCGATGACTTGCTGAACGAATCGCTCAGATTTAAGTGGATTCTGGAGAAGATGTTCTTCAAAGTAGACATTCATCGACAGCTCACTTGCGCTCAAATTAGCGATATATTGGATGTGGTGTCCAATGAGAAACACGACGGCGACGCCTTCATTATGATGTTCATCGGACACGGATATGACGAGAAGATTCAGGGCTGGCAGGAGAGGGACGGCGACGAGTTGGCCATCAGTAAGATTGTCGACAAGTTCTCCGAAAACAATTGTTTGAGTCTTCGCAACAAACCCAAGATATTTCTATTCAACTGCTGCAGAATCAGTCAGTTTTGTGACATTTATTTCCGCTAAGAATTAGACTTATTGTACAATATTTTAAATTTAAACTAATTGAACAGAACCCAAACAAATCCATGTCTCTGGTGTCTTCAAATTGGATAATAAACAACTGGTCATCGATTTGACTTCCATTGACAAGAACTGGGAGAACGAGAATAAGAGAACTTATATTATCTATGCCTGCGCTGAAGGTATGTTTATAAATTAAACCTGGTAGTGAATAAAACTAATTAGTCATAATAAATACAACTTAAACATATTTCAGGCATAAAATCTTGGTATTATCCGGCATCAGGTATGACTCAATTTGGACAGTCGTTTAGTCACATTGTGGCACAATTTTCATGGTATAAGAATTTGGTGGAAATGCTTAATATGGTTAGCAATGTGTTTATGATATTAATTAATTTTAAATAGTTTATAATTAGTTTAGAAAATGATTTCTAATATTAATCTGATTTCAGACACAACTAAGACTTGAAAAAGAGATCGGAAAAGACCAACGGCCAGAGGTTAGGATGTTTGCAGTGGATAGGGAGCTGTACTTCAATCCAGGATTAAGTAAGACTTCATAATATAATTAACAATATTTGCGCTCAATTTATTAAAACTATTTAATAGCTATTAAATATTGAATTAATTAAATAATTTATACTTCTGTAAAGCAATATGATATATAATGTCTTTGTTATGCTTTTGTCATTCTGTATACAATTATTTCGTGTTAAAAATCACAATAAAAATTTTACTATTTGTATATTAGTTGTCATTTTCAACTGAACTATTTTATAACAAAGAAATCTTATCTTAACTGCACTTATATGCCATTTCCATGGTATTTATCTGACTTTATAAATTATTTTTATAAAACTATTTATAATCTTGATTTTTTAAAAGAATCTTTGTGTCATATTAATCAGTAATAATTAATGTTTGAAATCAGTAGATAATGGCATAATGCTATACATCAAGTATCAAGTTATTTAATCAGAAATATTAGATGAGTGTTTGAATCATTCAATGATCTATTGATGTATTTGAAGTGACAATTGATAGGAAAGTGCACTCAAAATCATATGAACTCAAAATATTTACTTTGATTTACAGTAGTGTTTTGTTTTTTACTTTAATATTACTTCATATGGATTAATAGAAGTGTTTCCAACTTATGTGCCCGGGGTTTACGTGAACCATAATAAACATCTCATGTTTAGTTTGGAAGTCCATTGATAGGTCTTGAATGAATTATAATTAAGACCTCTTAAAGTACCATGCAGAAACGAATATACAGTATTATCATCAATAATAATTTTATATATATTTAAAATAAAGTTTAAAATATTAACAATAACATACTACAGGTAAAGAAATGAGGTTTAAAATGCATTAAATTAATCAAACATTAGCCAAATTATTGAACAATATCCCTGTTATAAGCATTTGGTCAAATTATGCAATAAGTTATAAAATAAGTTACTATTTGATATATAACTTTTATATAAGCATTATATAATATAAAATGAATAATACAATTTCGTATTTGTTTAAATAAATATGTGATTTTGACCCTATATACAGTATATACAGTATATACAGTACACTTTTACAAATAGAAAGTGAATTCAAGGAAGATAGGATAGGTATGGACAGGCAGTTAATTTCTTATTTCAGGTCTATATTAGGATTAATAAGTATTTTTAAAACAAAATATTTAGGATTAAACTTTTAATAAATTGATTTACAAAAAAATAAAACAAAAATTATTTAAATTATGACTTAATTTTAGAAATGTGTTCAAAAGATAAATATTGAATTTAAGACAACACACACTGAAAGTTAAAACAAATGAAAGTTAACTCATATATTGTTTAGTTATGAAATATTTCCAAAAATTGCAAACAACTTCTAAAAATATTTTGCTATTCCATCGGAAATTGATTTTTATCAGGAAATGGCATATATTTTAAATGAAAAAAAGTTGTTTAAAAACAAATTATTAATTTGAAAACAGTTCTGAAATTAATTTAGTGTTTTGTATAATAGTATAGAATTGAATGTAATTTCTAAACATAAAAATGGTTACAAAAAGAAAATTCATTCAATTAGTATTGAAATCATTACTAATCGCCGGAACGATCACTTCGATGACAATAACTGTTTTGCTTTTATTTCGTGACATTCAGACCATAGATAAGGAAGAGTTTGATGTGAGAAGACGTGGCTATAGTTATCTCAACTCAAACGTTAGACAATATAAGACCGTCTATTCAACGGACAGTCAATTCTACCCGAGAGTCAAATTGATCTCCAGTTTGGATACAGTATTGCGTGAATTGATTTGGTTGTCAAACCTGATCGGAGGCATCAAAGAGCACCATTATCTCACACAGACGTCCGGTATTTGGTTGGCTATTATGTGGATATCCAGTCATTTCGACACTGGAGTCGAGTTGTTATACACAACCAGTTTAAACCTAACGAATCATGTTTTGCAGTTTTTCTTGATTTTAATCACTCTATGGTTTGCATATCTCATACACGACGACAACAAACTCAAGAATAAGAGGCAAAAGGCCTCAGAAGCTGAAGAGCCGGCGACCAATCAATTGAATCAAATTGAAACTATTGTATAACTTTTAACTTTTATTTCATTTAACAAAATCTAATATAAACATCTAATATAAAACTTTTTACTTTATTTAAGTCATGAATAGGGAATACTGTGATAAGCATTGATTTATATAAATTTTAAAAAATATTTTATTTGTACATTAAGGTATTATAATAATAAATTTATTTACATGAATACTTTTGATAGCAAAGTTTATTAATTTAGAACTTTTCAAAGCATTGTATAGATTATAAAAAGCAACACTTTTGTACTAATTTATAAAACACATTACATTTATTGACACATTTTTGTGAAATTCCAATATATTGATATTTGTGAAATTATGTTAATATTCATAATTATTATAAATTGAAAATTTATTATAGTAATTTACTTTAACTTAATATTGGTGGCAATTATTTTAAAAATATCTAAAAAAGAATTAAAGTATAATTAGTTTATTGAATGATAAGCAATAATGTTTTCTAGCTAACTTAATGTAAAATTATACAGAGGTTTCAAAAATGAATAATCTTATTTAATATCTTACAATAGTACTATTTGCTGTTAACAAATTAAAATAAAGCTAAATGCTATTAATAATATTTATGATATTTATATACCTTTTTAGGTCTCTATCGCAACAGAATATAGAGACTAAAAATCGATACCTATTTGTTGACATTCCTATTGATCACAACATTGTTGGCAACAAAACAATAGTGAGGCACAGGAGTTGACCAAAACTTAATCATAAATGTTGTCAAAATGTTTGATTTTTGAGAAACAAAACTAATTTTATGGAAATACTAATTGTGTGTACAATAAGCGCGGAATCGGAGAGTGTTATTGAAGTGCATAATAACCATTTGAATGTAAATGATGTGGACTGTGGCCGCACTGAATAAAAAATATTTCGAGTATTGTATCCTATATTGATTGCCAAGTTTTGTTCCCTTACTATTCACTCACAATATGTTTCACTTGTTATGTGTTTGTATTGAATTAAAGTCCAAAATCAGAATATATTCCCTTTATATTAATAATTCATTTGTTAATGCATTTTGTTATTATGTATACATGATTATGTCTGATTATGTCTAATATAGCGCTTTGGGTACATATAACAGTCTAAACGATCCACATCTTCATCAATACTTTCGTAAACCAAAAGTCCGCAGTCATCTCATTCAAGTGGGACTGGTATTGCATTTTTCTAATCAATTATTCTTGAATGCACTCGTAGGCTAATCTCATTTATGATAGTATAGCAGCGCCGGTACTTTATTTTTTGAATTTATTGAGCATATATTAAACATAATATACTCGGGCTAGAGTATACAATGCAGTGGTTTATGTCAAATAGGTTTGCAATTTATAGCGGAATAGGAGATTGACTTTTATTGCATTATGCAGGCTATTCAAATATTCAGATTTATTCGCATAATGTAAAAGTGAAATTGTTGTCAATATTTAATGAACCAAAAAGTTTGTTCAAAAACAATACTATATTTGATTGAAATATCAGATGACCAGCGAAGGCAAGATAATACCGGAGGCAGTGGTCAGACTGAGAAGACTGGAGGACGAGAGACGCAAACAATTGCATCAACTGTTGACTGAAGTGCTGGAAAAGGGAGAAACAAACCGTTTGGGTCTTAAACGACTTCACGAGACACGGACTCTGGAATCGGAGGCCAAATGGGAATTAGTCCAGAGGGCGAAGATTGCCTTCGAGTCCCAGTCCAACACTACAGGACTCACCACAAGAACCCAATCCAATGACTCGAAGAAGAGCTCGTCGTCCACCACGACATCCATGTCTTGGTTCAGACGTGTCGTACAAATCAAACCAAAACTTTTTATAAATAACAGACGAAGGGTTAGAGTGACGGCTCTGAATAGGTATGAGAGACCAAAGTCTTCGTATGGCATCAGATCATCAAATAAAGTGAAACCCGATTTGCAATCAGAAAAAGAGCTGAACGAACAGTTCTCTGATATATTGTCTTTGGATGGCCTATCACTCCAAGACACTGATGATGAAGAATATGGCGGTAAGAGATCTGGTTTGTGGTCTTCAAAGAAGATTAAGCCATCAATTATTACCCTTCGCTTCAATGGTTTGACAAACAATTGTTTAACTCCTCGGAGGATACAAATAAGTCAACAATTATACAGCGGTGGAAATGCTATAACTATATTTGATAGAATGGTGACACCGGGAGGTATGTCCAATATCCTACTTTTAGTAATAGTCCTAAATATTTTATATACTAATTTTAAATTAATATTAAAATATATTTTGATTTAAAAATCATAATAAATACAGTAATAAGAAACAAAATAAATGTCTAAATGTAGTGTCTAAATGTCGTTAAGACAAAATTTGCTATTATTCTAATAACTACTAGAAACTATTTATGTTTGACAAAATATCCAGAATAATTACATTAATTTTATATGATTTCCATTATATTTATAATTATACTGTATATTTAATATTCTACTAAATAATTCACAAAAATTAGAAGAAGCATGTGTCTATTCTTATAATAATCATTAGTAAGATCATTTAGTAAAATAATTTTATTATACGTAATTTGATTTAACCAATATACTTGCAATTTACTAGTTAATTTAAGCTAATAAATTATTACATACCTCAATTGTGCATAAAAGTGGCTCAAACTACTTTTTATAGTAATATTACTGAAAAAGTACTTTTGATTATATTACTATTATAGTTAATTTGAATTATTAAAAGTGCAGAAATATAATTTATCAAATGTTTAGAGAACCTGACATTTGGTGTTCGGCCGCATAGAGATAATCCATTCTCGATGACTGTCCTCATCGATGGCATCCGTGATCTGCGAGTCAGCACATGTTGTGAACACAAACACAAAAAGGGATTCAAAATATCTCACTTCACACTAATCGATGTCAGCGGCGGTAAGATGTGTGCCAACTGTCGAAAGAGTGCGAACCAAATGACTAAATCTTTGTCTACCGGTGCTGTGAGTGCTTATCTACCAAAAGAGAAATCACAAAATAATGGCCTTCAGAATGAGGGACCAGTTGTGGACAATAATGACAACCATTTGAGTGATAGTGATGTGGATGACGCCGAACAGACTGTTATAGAGTTAGAGAAGAGGAGCTCCGGGACCTCATCGCCAGTCATTGCCGACAATAATGAGGAACAGTATGAGTCGGAGTTTGAAACGGAAACACCGGAATCAGTGAGAATGAGGTCCACTAGTGTCTCATCAGATGATAGCAATGCTGGCCATCAAGAGGTAATTGAAGTGGAAGTGCATAACAATCCATAATATTTAACATATTTTTGAATATTTTATGCTTTCGTCACAATATATAAAATATTTTGATAAATCTTTACCGAAATGTTGCTTTTGTTAAACATATTATGTATATATTGTATTATTCTGTTAATAATTAAACGATTAGTTCAATTTTTACTGTATATTAAAAAGTTACAAAATAAACAATTTTTAAGTTTGAATTTAAAGACAAAATTTATTTTTGAATTTTGATTACATTTTATTTAACGAAAGATTTTGTGACAAATTCTTGGAGTAATTCTTGTGATATTCTTTTCTTCAAATAAAATATATGGACTATTGCTTCGTTCAGAGCTTTACCTGCGATTGGATTTGAAGAAAATATAGCCAATGAGTAGTCCAATGGTTAGGCCGACCGCAAGGGGAACCTTATTCTCTTTGGTGGCCGACCATGTCTTTTGGCCCAATTTACTGGCATTTTCTTTGAGACCTTCGACCGAAAAATCTATCGTTAGTTTTGTGCCATCGCTTGAACTCATGGTGTGACCCTCGTCTGACATTTCAATTACTATTGATTTAATAAACAGTATTCGTATACCGTTTGCAGACAACTGTCTCAAAGCAATTGTAACTCACAAATAATCGTTACATCAATTCTGTAATTCTGTGTTAATTTTTAAAATTTTTATTTGTATTGAAAATCTCGCGATAATAACAATAATTAATTATCAATGTTAGTGCAGTTCTCTCTACAAAATAAATAAAATTTTAAGCTTGAATTTGAAGACAAACAACTGTCTCAAAGCAATTGTAACTCACTAATCGTTACATCAATTGTGTGTTAATTAAAAAAAATATTATATGTATTGAAAATCTCGCGACTAGTGATTAAATCATAAAACTTTTGATTAATTGAGTGATATTTGAATTACACATAAACTGTGAAAATGAGTGAAATAAATGCCCGAACGTGTGAAATATGTCTAAGTGGTCGACCGGGTGCTAACGATCCGTTGATTAAGGCCTGCAATTGTATTACAATTGTACACAAGTCTTGTGGCGCCCAATGGTTTGAAATCACATCCCAAGACAATTGCGAAAATTGTAATTTTAAATACATTACAAAACGTGTGGCGAAGACATCAGAGAATACTTGAAGGAAACACCAGAAGAGTGGGAAGAACTCAAAGAATTGGTTTTACGGACCTTCAATATCAGCCATTTGGCACTCATTACTCTCATTATTTGGATCCACAACCCAATTGGCTTTGTTTGGCTAAAATACATTTTGATGATAACAGCCTTCAGGTATGTGGCCATCTTCAGGCTCTGGACTCTGTTTGACTCTCGACTCGTATATAGTCTTCGCGAATGGAAAAGAACTCATTTCTGGGTCCAACTCTTCCCCAATCCTAACCCAATACCAGTCATCAAACCAAAAGATATCTAAGAAATACTTTTAAATTATAATATAAAAAAGATTGAGTTTTATTAATTGGATAACTATTTATCATTATTCATTTGTTCATTTGAATTAGCTATTAGTATAGCCTATTACTATAGGAAATATTTGCAAATTTTATTAAAATTAACTCAAAATACAGCAATTTTTTGAAATTGAAATTTATTTAGTGCTCAATCATTGCATTTCTTAATATTCACAGACTTTTGTCATAAATTAGTCTTCAATACTATACACATAATGTTTATCCCAAGCGTTGTAAACACGGCCTATGATTACACACCACTGGAGCAGACATGAGAAGACACAGTAAACTGTGGAGAAAAGTCTCTTCGCGAAGAATAGTCTGTAAGATATGGGTTTCTGTCGGCACCGGACTCTCAATGAGTTAAATGTTTGCAAATCGATGGCATAGAGTATGATAATCAGCACCAAATATAGGGCTGTGAAGAGCAGTACCTTAAACGCCTCGAACCACTGTTCCCTTGCAAACTGCAATAACTCGCCTCGCCTTTTGTCTATTCTGCACCGGTAGTCAGATTTACAGATATTACAGGTGACCGTTTGGCTAGTGTTAATCCACGTTAATATACATTGTTTGTGAACGTATTTGAGGCTCCCATTACACACGCAGGGACAAATTAATGCCAGTCTGGTGTCATTTTCAAGACATATGCGACACTCGCCGGCATTGGTCTCCTGTAATCCCTGTCCCTCAGCCGACATAATCAAAGGCTATTTGATTTCTAAGCCGTTGATTCACATTAATTAAAAAATATTCTCGCTAAAACAATTGGAAATTTAAAATTTAAGACTAGCATTACATCGACAAAATTCTAGCAACTGTTTGCCGCCTTTATTGACAATTATCTCAAAAGTCAACGCAAAGGACATCGAAATGGTTAAGAGAAGAGACAGAGAAGACAACAGAAGACCCAAACGACAGCGTCCTTCCGATGTGAGCGAAGACTTTGATTCGGAACCGCTTTCAAAGAGAGATCACTTATTCCCGGAATATCACGACCAAAGCTCTCAATACCAAACTACCGGCGCCCGAGCTGATGGACGCCAAGGAAGATCACTGTTTTCTTATCCAATGAACTCAAACCGATACTCAAATGAGGGCTCATTCGCCGAACATTCGTCACTTTTCGGAGAAATTGGTCAAAACACAGACAATCTGTTTCGACCAATTGGTCGCACCGGTGGTCATATCGGTGGCGGTCTCTTCGGATCCAGTGGTCGCACGACTAGCGGTTTATTCGGACCAAATCCTACCCCTACTCCCACCCCTGGGTTTCCCTCATTATTTGGTACTCAAGAGAGAAGATATGGCCACCAAAGAGGACTCTTTGATTTTGGGAAACAATCGCCGGAAGACACTGACGACTATTGCAGCGAAATTGTGGATCAAATGAAAAACAACGCCAAGAGATTAGCCGATGAGCTGAAAGAGTCGCGAAAAATGGTCGAAGAGTCCAATAAGCGAGTGGTGGACGCCATCAAAGAGATGCACTCAGACCTCAAGAAGACTCTCATCGAAGAACTGCCAAAACTATTCAAGAATTAGCCCAAAGATTAAGGCATCAGTCGTTTGAAATCAGTTGCTTTCGTATTTTTTAAATCACTTGTAAAGTCTTTATCTCAAAATTTATTGTGAATTAAAATTAATTTTTCATAAATTCTGTGTCAGTTTTAAAGCATTTATATTAAACGTAAAATTAATAATGTATAAAATAATAGTAATTTGTGGTATAGTAATAACATATAAAAGGCATTTAACTAATATAATGTGTGCAAATAATAGGTGGTATGAGTTGAGCCAAAAAATGTCCAAAAATGAGTGCATCGGAGGTAGTCTAACGTCAAGATTGTGACAAACATTACATTTGCGGACATAGTGCTGACAATGATATCTCAACTGCTATTAAAATCTATAGATAATTCAGTCTAAAGTACTCCCACACCCCGACATTGCACATATTATACCATGTAATGTATAATGTATTGTATAATGTAAAATAGCTATTAAACAACTTTGTGTAAAAATACACTATTTTTGCAAATAAATTCATTTACAAATAAATATTCAAAGATAAAACAAGTTTCAAATGTCAAAAACACATTAATTGTAAATCAGATAATCGATTATAAAAAGGACGGACTCATTAGTCTTACAAAATATTTATATAATCTATGATTAATGTAAAAATTATTCTTATTTAATGTCAACAAAACTATATAAAAAAGAGATTATAAGAAAAATAATGTATAATTATAAGATTAAGAGATTCAAAAAAACATTCGTATATTTAAAAACTATTTAAATACTAAGAGTTACAACATTTAAGGCTAAAATTGTGGTCATGTATTGCAGTCATTGGACGGTCAGTTCATAATTAAAAAGTTTAGTTAAAAACAGTGTGTTTTAGTGCCACCAACACCACTATAGTAGTGGACAATAATACACTTAATTGATCTAATGATTAGAATCTATTGATTAGGTAAATGTAAATTTGGTCAATGATTCAGATCATAAGTAATAGAGAGATAAGAGATACTTAATACTTCATAATAGAAAGGCATTGTTTGATAGACTAAGTTATTCAAAGGGAATGTCAAAAATGATTGTTTTGTGTTTCAAATAATACTAAATTACATTTGATTAGGAATGTAATGGGAATGAAATGGTATTCATTTGTCATTATTTCACATATAAAAACATTTGTTCAAACATTTGTTTGCATATAAATAGCGGAACTGGTGGTCCACTACTCAGTCATCACTGTATACCCAATCGATGGGCACCCACTGGTGTTCAATAGTGAGTGCGTCGACGGCATCCCTGAGCTGTTCGAAGGTCTTCTCGAAGTTGTTGTTCACAATAACTAAGTCAAAAAACTTGTCGTACGCGCGCTGTAGTCGTGCGCTCTCCTCGACGGTCACCTGTAGGTCCTCGTCCTCGTAAAACGAGGCCAAACTCTGTAGAGTCCGTACGCGTCGGGAGCTGTGACGGCCCAGTGCTCTGTCAAACTGTTTGGTCACAAAATAATTGTCATTAAATTTGGTTTACTATTAGACTATTTGATAATCTAATAAAACATACCGTTTGATAGCGCGAACCTCCCAGTCCTTGATGGCGACCGTACTCATGCATATACCGGAGCTGATCGAGTGGTGGTGCGGCCACGAACACGATGTATGGCATGAATTCTGCCGTTTTTAACATTTTCAGACTCTATTCACGCAAACAAATCGGTTTTAATGTAAATAATACCGAAATGGAGATCTAATTGCGTGTGAAATACCTGTGGATTGCAGTCAATGACACACATTCTTCCGGATCTAATGATAGCGCGAATGGAATCCAATCTAGTGCCGTAGAGGTGGTCCTGGAATTCGCCGAACTCCAGGTACTTGTTGTCCGCAATCTCGCCCTCCATTATATCCCGGCGCACGAAATGGTATTGCTTTCCGTCCTGTTCTCCATCGCGAATGGGTCGGGAGGTGTGGGGCAGTGGTGTGGCGAACCTGTCCGTGTCGTACGCTATTATGCGAGACTTGAGCGTACGCCGTCCCACCCCCTGAGCGCCCACCAGGATCAGGGTCTTGCGCTCGAAGGGCGGCGTCCGACACACCTCTTCGTACAGCAGGAGCTCTGCCTTATCGAAGTCGGCGTTGGCCTGGGATTCAAGTGAGAGTTCAAACACATGAATGCTTTTCTACATTGTATAGGATTGTATAGGTATAGCATAGAGGGGAATGGCATTCAGGGAAATCAGTTCAATACAGTACAACACAAAAGGTTTTAATGTATTGTTTATATGAAAACATTGCTATTAAATGTTATTTGAGAGCAAATGTTTGCACAAAACTGAATAAATATCACAAAATGTGTTCAAAGTGTGCACACAAATAGAGTGAATGGAAACATATGGAGAGCACCGGTAGGCGAGAGCACGAGAGTTCATACCTGAAGCTGATACATCTCCTTCTTCTTCTTTTTGGTGATTTTTGTGCCACAAATGCTGGTTCGGGTCGCGTAGTCAAACTCGGGCCTCACGAACGCCCGGCGCCGCTCCTCCAGTTCCTGCGACGGGATGAGCCCGGCGTGAGTGTGGGGCGCCTCCACACTCCTCGCCTGCCACCAGTTCGGGTCCTCTGTGTTGACGATCTCGAGAATGTCTCCCTGTTTGAAGGCGAGACCCACTTCACGACACGGCAGTAGACTGTCTTCCGTGGGGTCGTAGTTATAGAGGGCCCGCATATAGCAGATGGAGGGCTGCGGCACGTCCTTACTCGACGGCGACACCTTCAGAGTCACCCCTCCCTTGCATTTGCGGAGCTCCTCCTGCAGCTGTTCCGGACTCGTTATCTCTATGCCATTGGCCTCCAGTATCACGTCTCCCACGTGTAGTAATCCCTGTCTGTCGATGACACTGCCGGCCAGTATGCGGGCGATCACTATTAGGCCGTCCTCGAGAGCCACTGTCATACCTGTCCACCAGTTATACGCAAATATTAGCTCAAAGTTACAATCAATTGGTTATAAGTTTTGGTTTAATAAATCATAATTAAAGAGACAATTAGTGGAAAAACATATCACGAGTGAGTGAGAGAGAGAATGAGAGAGAGAGAGAGAGAGAGAGAGAGAGAGAGAGCACCGGGAGGTGAGCGCTAGAGTAGACAGCGGACAGGCGTGTCTGTGACTGACCGAGTGGTTCGTTGTCCGACTTCCTGATGCCGACCATTCGTATGGCTTGAGTGATGGCCTCATCGCCGGACTCACTGCCGAAGACATCCATTTCGTAGGACTGGATGTTGCCGTCGGGAGTATCCCCTCTGCCGTCGTAATCCTTGGTGAGACAGTTGTCGTGGGCCTCTGCGAGTCCGGCCACGTGAGGGTTGGACAACAAGAGGTTGAGTTCAGCGGCGTTTCGGTTCTTAAGACTCAATTTGCTGCACATCTGCTTCACGTCCTGCAGGAGGGATGAGGTCTCACCACCCGATTGGCCGTCACTTCCCGACTGCTTCCGGCCTTTCATTGTCTGCGCCAACGATCGCGTGATTATCGCTTTAATCGGTGTTTCGTTTGCAGTAATTATGCGCTAATTATATGTGAATCACAACTCAATCAATGATTTCAATGATTACTGCCTTTCAATGGGTTTGTTGTACACACGAAACGATTCATTGAATTAATGGTTAACTTTAATGTCATTGAAATCTGTGATAAACGTAAACAACTGTTGATATGGTGTTACATGCGGTCAACGATTTGGTACTATTTTATATAAATATTACTGATTGTGGTATAAATGATGATATGTATAAAAAAGGGTCTACAATGCGATGTTGTAATGCAAGCATTCCTATAGCCATACCTGTAATAGACTGTGAGCACAGGTAGTATAGAGTTTGGTATGTTTTGGTTAGTGAGGTGTTGCGTGAACCCAACCCTAACCCAAAAGCACACAACAGTCGCACCCAAACCATAAGCTATGATAGCATGCGAGCGCTTAAATCAAATTCATGTGATTATTATGCAGGCAATTGACAATTGAATTTACTGTCACACACCTTATGATTATTTTTACTTTTAATTCAATAACAATTATTGTTAGTTAATTATGATAAGTGTTTAGACAGATATCTATACGATTTTTTTGTAATGTCTATATCATAGATTTCAAATGTTTTAAATGTTTTGTAGTTTGTAATGATTCTGGTGAATAATTATTATGATAATTATTAATAAATATTTGCATGTAAAGATTTATGATATAATATTAGATTAGTGTATTTATAGTAGCATGATCAGTACTTACAGTGTAATAATTACACTGTAATTACTAATTACAAATATTAAATTTAATAATCTATAATTGTTAGCATGCTTTTATTTTCATTTATATTAGTTTTACATTGTTAGATCAAGTCATATTAAATATTTACTGCAATTTTATTTAAATGATTAAACTTATAGCTTAAATTTTATTTTTATTACAGATTTTGTATAATGTACAGTACAATTTGAATATTATTTATTCGGGTAGTTTTCAGTTAAAAATATTTTGAATAAAAATCACTATCAAAATGACTCTCTTAAGTAATTAATTATTAAATAATCAGATTTAATATAATCTAATATTAATTTCTTTAAATTCAAGTCGTTTTAGTGCTTATAATCATCACAATTAAAGAGTCACATCAAATGAATGAGTTTTGTAAAACTTTTATGAATAAATCTAATAGTTTGTACGGGTACCAATTCAAGAGGTATAACAATATTCAGAGTCTTATCATGAATACCACGATATGGACCATAAACCAGGAATATTCAAATGACTTGAAAGTCAACAAAATTAGTTTAGTCGCCGACAACGGCCGCGAACACCCGGATGACCATCAATACACGGCTGCCCTCAGCTTCAGAGTCAATAACTTGACACTAATCGCACGGTTGAGGGTATATTTCATAGCATTTCATTCAAATGAGTTTATATTAAAAGAATTTACATTTTTTGCTAAGAAATCTGATGAAGTATTTGATTGGTTTGAATTCGATGGCAAACATACAGTTCCCATAAATTCTTCGAGTCATCCGTTTCTAGAAAAGATAGACTACAAGAATATGACGACAAGTAATTCGTATCCAATTGTCTTCACATCCAGTGACACATACTTCGAGACATTGATTCAAAGCAAAGACTTCAACAACTGTTCACTCATTAGATATTCAATAGAATACAGCAATAGTGCCTCAAAAGACCCGGACATCTCTATCATGTAGTTTACTTCATACTCCTATACTATAATATAATTTAATGAAAATTAAATCTAAATAATTATATGTTTACTAAAATAGTGAGGTTTACAGTCGAGAGCAGTGTTTATCAAACATAAAAACCCGAGTATTGGCCCGATTTGAAGGGGGCATCCATTACGAGAAATCCCCGACTTTTATATATTTGTTTGATTTCACAGATTCTGTTAAATACTGTATTATTCTAACAGCAAATCAAACAGTGATTACATTTTAAAATATATTAAATTTGAAGGGGGCATCCATTACGAGAAATCCCCGACTTTTATATATTTGTTTGATTTCACAGATTCTGTTAAATACTGTATTATTCTAACAGCAAATCAAACAGTGATTACATTTTAAAAAATATTATTATTAATTATATTTATTCATTTGACATAATCTGAAACTCAATTATGATAATTACTTTTATATTTTATAATCAATAGAACTGTGATTTACATGATTTGGTGGACTGTTATGATTACGACTATTATTACGACTATTACCGGAAAATTGTAATCATAAGCACAACACTGACTATTGTAGCAGTAATTGGTATATGCATTGGAGTATGGGTTTTCGTTTATCACAAAAGCATTTACACAAGTCTAGCTATTTTAATTAATATAACATTATTTAAGTATTTATTTGATAATTAAATTGCATTCAAATCTCGATAGAAGTGAAAGTGGATGAGGATGTGGACACCATTACCTCTAATAATCGTAGTCGTGATGACAAATCTGATATTAGCAAAGAATTACATGATATGCCCATTCAGTTCCCCTCTTATCATATCAGTGAGACATCTCTCTCTCTCTCTCTCTCTCTCTCTCATAATTTATAAAATAAAATTTTAATTGTGACAGAAATTGCAAAATTTAAAAGGGATTCGACGATAAACACAAAGAGTAGTGTAACCGATAGCCAAAAGAGTTCAAAAAGTACCATCAAATCTACAAACACTTCAAAAATAACAGAAAGTATATCTAAAATAAAACCACAATTTTATGTCCAAAATTTAATTCATAAATACTTTATAGCAGATCCTACGAGTCGTTCAGATTTATAATAAATGTCACTAAAAACTCAGTATTTATTTATATGATTATCACTTAATTCGTATGCAATGAAACCAAACGTTATTTAATTATTCTGTATTTATTTACCTTTAATTAAATTTTTTATTATTGACATATTTAAAAATAAAATATAACATAATTTAAAAGTTATTTATTTATTTATGCTTCAAAATTAGCTGAATTTTTATTTTATACATTTTATATAAAAACTATTTTGTAGACAATTCAATAACTTTGAGGAATAAGACGATTAGCATTGCGATGTTTGACACAATTTATATAACTGTTAAAACTTAATATTTATAACAAATAAATATATACTTCGTAGCATTGAAAGTGGTCGATCGTAAATAATACCCAGCACGAAAATCCAACACTATTATCAGATAATCTCTCAATAAAATTAAGCAACTATAAACAGCATTTAAAACTCATATTTTACTATATTATGTCTACAAATTATAAATGTAGTCTTATAATACCAATATTGGAATAATAATTGCTTATTTGTATTATAGATTTTAATCAAAATATTTGTTTTCAAAATTATAACATTTTTATAAAACTGTTTCTGTTTTTTGTTACTGAAATACAGTATTATGGTTGTGTATGACATTACAGTAAACTGTATGTCATTTTATATAAATGTTATTATTGTAAACAAGAAATAAAACAATAAAATTTCCATAAGTACTGAAATTTTGAAAATTCAGAAAAACAAAAACATAAATATTGTCATGGTCATGTTTCTATTAAGTCATGAGGTTGTACCAGATAAAGTTTAGAATTCAGAAAATTAACAATATAAAATAATTTTAAAAACTATTTTAAACTTTACTACAGTAAGACAAAGTAAAAATTAATTTTCTGAATTAAACATTAGTAAACCTCTACCATATCAGTGATTAATTGATTTATTTTAAAATACTCAGACTTATCATGATTATGTTAAATGAGTTACGGCACACATTAAGGTTGTGCTTGTTAATAAGTCATGAATTAGCACTAAACAACTACACATAATATAGAGTGTATGTTATACACCAAAATCTTTAACATTACATTAACTTCGTGAGTATTAATGACTGATTACTAATGAGTAGTAAAAATACATTTTGTCAAACATTTAAATTTTAAAATATCAATTTGATAACTTTATTCAACTTACATCTTATTTCAACTTGTTAGTTCAGAATCTTAATTATTAAATATTTTACATTTATTTAATTATACGCAAATAAACAAAATATTTATGAAATAAAATGTGAATATTTTATTGAACATATTAAAAAAAGAGTATTAACTATGATATTAATTATTAAATTATAGTTAATTTTATAAAAATTAATAAAAACTATTTAAATTACTTAACTCCCTTTATAAGTTATATATGGACTATAAGTTGTTGAAGTATTCCTAGAAATATACATTTCAAACTGTAATTTTGCATAAACACACATTATCAAATAAAGTTTGACAAAATTAGTTTGAAATGTGTATTTCTAAGAATTATTGTGCAGGACCAATCCATATAACCCCTTTGGGTACACCATAATTATCGTAATGATAAGGTCTTTGATATCGGAATAACTATTTATTAATGCATTTCTTGTTTACATTTTTATACACATAAGTGTGGTCCTTTTATCTTGATCAGATCAATTTCTATTATATATTACATAATGTATGAAATGCTTACGATAAAAATATTTTAAGTAAACAAAAGTAATGATAAAGGTGACAAAAGAAGTCAATATTTGTACGAGTATTTCATAACACTAGGATTACAAGTTCAATTTAATTCCTAATAATAGCAATTAAATTTTACATACAAATACAGTTGTAATACAATTACAACCTTTATTATAAACCACTATACTAAATATTAGTACCGTATTCAAATTAGTTGTTATATTCACAGGAATCATAATTATCAATAAAAAAGTTAATGATTATTTAAAAGGATATAAATATAAGGGGTACCGGAATTTAATGCGCGTTTTTTAATGAAATTTAACATTATGACATTTAAAATAAACGCGCATTAAATTCCGGTACCCCTTATATAAGGAGTGAAAGCATGAATTGACTATAATAGCTAATGTTTGCCAATATTTTTCATAAACAGGATTTTACTGTATTTGCAAATTTCATTAGTATTTTCTGATATTTCAAAGTTATTTACTTATAAGGCTTTGAACTAATATATCAATCAGTATAAGGAATATTAATATATTAGTTATCTGTTTGTAAAGTTATATAAATAAGGATTTGTCTCATAGTATATAAAGAGTTGATTTAAAAATTAAATTATTAATTCAAGTCAAACAATGAAACGTTTTCTACTGTTATCTAACCCGAGGACTGGATCCACATATTTGGCAAACTTATTAGGAAGTCATGCGGACATAGGATTGGCCGATGAACTACTCAATGATGAAAAAATTATATCAGAGGATGGAGCAATCAAATATATCAGCAAAGAGTTGGCAAAATATGATCAGAAATTTGTTGGTTTTAAGGTATTTCCCGAACAGATATTGAAGAGAAAGTTACGTTTCGATGATATCGTCAGACATATCGGTGCAGATATGGTGATAGTCTTGTGGCGCAAATCCATTGCCGAACAGTTAGTGTCCCTAAGAATAGCTGAAAAGACTGGCGTTTGGTTTGAAGGCGCGGAAGATTATAATAATAACAAAAATAACAGAAAGAATGGTAAAGAAAAGACTATTATTTTAGACCAAGAATTGAGCGAATATTACGAGAATTTAGTGAATGATTGGAGAATAATAGGCAGTCAATGGCCTATTGATATAATCCCGATATATGTCTCTTATGACGATCTCATAGCTGATCCGTTGAGAGAATTGCGGAAAATCATGTCTCGTTTGAGCTGTGATATGGAACAGTATGTCTTCACGAGTCCCGGTGCTGTCAAACAACAATTCCCTCCATCAGATCGTATAGAGAATTGGGAAGAAATAAGCGATGATTTGAAGACTTTAAAGATAAATGTGAAGCAATTGATGACAGAATGCATTGAGAATAACCTGAATGTCAAATGTCAAGCCCTGCCCTATGTTCCCGATCCAGAGCCTCCTTTCCCCTCAAAGGGCTGGCGATATAATGTTTGCGCGCCTTATATGCCAAATGAGGGCAAAGATAATGTAATTCAGGCGCTGGTCTCGGGTTCTGTGTCTTCGGCAGGATTTTGGCCCAAAGAGATGTCCGATAAGTTGCGAAAGATATACGACTGTCCAGTGGCTCAGCCGTGCAGTAATGGGTTCACAGCTCTAATGGTAGCCCTACAAGCAATGCATGTGGGAAGTGGTGATGAGGTGATAATGCCGTCGATGACAATGGTAGCCGTTCCCAATTCAGTCACATTTGTTGGCGCAGTCCCTGTGTTTGCTGACTGTGCGGACGGGGATACCTACAGGCAATGCATGTGGGAAGTGGTGATGAGGTGATAATGCCGTCGATGACAATGGTAGCCGTTCCCAATTCAGTCACATTTGTTGGCGCAGTCCCTGTGTTTGCTGACTGTGCGGACGGGGATTACAATCCGGGTCTCAAAGAGATATTAGAAGTGGCATCAGGTTTGACAATATTACCTTGTACATATTTATAAAATATAAGTTATCACAAGTAATATAAAATATAAATTACTTCAGATTAGTTAAACCTAGTTTTAAAATCAGATATAAGTTTAATATTTGAGTATATTTTGAAGAGTTTGTTAATCGACTTTAATTCCTAGAATATTCAGCATTCAAATCATGAACAGTAAAACATTTGTATACAGTCATATTTTTCATTAGTAAACTTAATGTTTAAGTATTTTAATGTCAAGGCTTTATTTACTCAAGTTGTACTACACATAACTAAAAATTAAGG